CTGCAACATTAGTTATAAGACACCCTGTATATCTATCCTTTACAAACGACCCGCAGAATTCCACAGTTTAGTATAGGGGAGGCTCACTCCAGTATGTTATAGAACTCAATGGTTGAATCACATAGCCTTGGGAAATTCTTATAAAAGTTATATCGTTTTTCATTTTTTTTATTTTTAGCTGAACATATTGTTGTATCCGAGCCACAAGGTTTGTGACAGCGTCCATTGTCCGCGAGCCTTAGGCATCTGAAGTCGTAGACGTCTAATACCTAAATCGCGCGGACTCAACGTCTCCCTTTGTTAGAACAGGTCAGAAATTAGAAAGAGATAGTTGCTATACGAATACCATCTGTCGTTTTCTAAAGACGCGTGATAGAATAAAGAAGCCTTTGTTGAGGGACGAAAAAAGAAGCTAGAGGGAAGCGGATCGATACACGTAAATCCTCACTCCAAACATTACCAGACGAAGACAGAATGGTACCCCAAAGCATGCTCTCTTTTTCTAATATTTGACGACTTTTCGGCCGAATGCGTGGTCTAGTTATATGTCTACACCCTAAATAATAATTTGATATCTCCATTTTCTTAGGAGATATGGAGGGGGAAAGAAAAATTTTAAAAGTCAATTTTTTTGAAAACGGCTCGACGGATTTTGATTCAAAAAATATATGTTATGAATATCAATGAGACAATTTTCTAAAAAAAATTAAGAAATTTTTTTAACAAAAATAAGGATAAAAATATTTTTCTAATTTTCAAAAATTTTTTTTGAAATTATGTTTTTGATTTACACCATGTTGAAAAAGTTACCGAGTTTTCCTTAAATATCTTAAAATGTATTAGGCAAATAAAAAGATGTTTCAGACAAAAGTTGTTAAAATTAATTGGTAGAAGAAGATGATATAATAAAAAATTGAGGTTTCCATTTACGAAAAGTAATGATCAATAAATATCCCGAAAATGGCGTCAATATTCCAATCAATACCAACCATATTGAACATAAATATTCTCTATAACATATCTAGAATATCTTCTATAACATACGAGGGCGGTCCGATAACGGCTATCACGGAGGATAACATGACAAAAATCCACGATCTCGTATTGGCAGACCGCCGATTGAAAGTGCGCGAGATAGCTGAGACAGTAGGCATCTCAAAAGACCGCGTGGGTCATATCCTGCATGAAATTTTGGGCATGAGAAAGCTGTCGGCGCGATGGGTGCCGCGTTTGCTCACTCCGGACAACAAGCGCAACCGTGAGACCACTTCAGAGCAGTGTTTGACGCTGTTTAAGCGCAATCCGAAGGAGTTTCTGCGTCGTTTCGTGACCGTTGACGAAACATGGATCCACTGGTACACACCAGAGACCAAGGAACAGTCGAAACAGTGGACTTCACTCGGCGAACGTGCTCCGAAGAAGGCGAAGACTGTCCTATCGGCCGGAAAGGTGATGGCCACCGTTTTCTGGGATTCACAAGGTGTGATCTACATCGACTACCTGGAGAAGGGCAAAACGATCACAGGGCTGTACTATGCCGAATTATTGGGCCGATTCGACGCCGAATTGCAGAAAAAACGGCCCCATTTGGCGAAGAAAAAAGTGCTCTTCCACCATGAAAACGCACCGGCTCATACCTCCGCCCTCGCCACGGTCAAATTGGTCGAATTGGGCTACGAACTGCTGCCCCATCCACCGTATTCTCCAGATTTGGCCCCGTGCAACTTCTTTTTGTTTCCAAATTTGAAAAAGTCACTCGCCGGTTAGAAATTTGAGTCGAGTGAGGAGGTCATCGCCGCCACGGAGGCCTACTTTGCAGACTTCGAGAAAACGTATTTTTCAGACGGGTTAAAGAAGTTGGAACATCGCTGGGTTAAGTGTATCGAACTAAAAGGAGACTATGTTGAGAAATAAATCGCCACTTTTCCAAAATTTTCGTTTTTCTTTTGTAGGCTAAGTACTTATCGGACCACCCTCGTATATTTTTGCTCAATTACCGGCCGGGAGTCGTTCACGACATATGGAATATTTACTTGTGTAATATTAATATCTCCGGTAGCGAGTCGTTTGCGACATTTGTAATATTGATGAGAATATTATTGAGATGGCCGGTCGTGAGTTGTTTGTGCCCAACTATAATATTTACTTGCGTATTGTCGACATTACCGGTCGCGAATCGTTCGCGACATTTATAACGTGTGCACGTGTGTTATTGATACTACGGGTCACAAGTCGTTTCGGCAGTTGTAAAAATCGATGGATTATTTGTAATATTACTAGATGCGAGTTACTTCAACGTGTGAATCTCCTGGTGTGTCTTCGACACTTCCGGTCACGAGTCGTATGCAAAATCTATGATACCTGCCTGACTACCTCGCTACTAGTATTCTCGCTACTAGCAATCACGAGTCGTCTATCACGAAAGTACTTTCATCAATCGAAATCCTTTGCGGCGATTTCTTATTATCAACATCACCGGCCGCAAGTCACTTGTGACGTTGTAACGGATTACGGGTATATTGCTGAGACACCGGTCACAAGTCGTTTGCGAATATATATGACTTATTATTTTTGTTTTGTTTTGTTACGCTCATTTATCTACTATTTGTATCTAACGCGATGTGGTGTTATAATAAACGGACCGTTGAGTCTGCACCTATTAAACCAAAACCTAACCGAAGCATTTCTTTTCTCTCTTCACCCTCCACTTCACCAGTGTGCCCACGTCGAGGGTGCCGATCACTGGACAAGAAGAGCAAAAGCCGTCGTGACTCGTCAGGATGGACGAGGCGAGGCAAGGCGAACGTTACAATCATACCAAAAAATATTAACTAATATAATCAAAAATAAATATATAGCTAATTTATATAACTAATATTTTGATTTTACATTTAATGTTGAATTAAATTGGACTATATATTTCAAATATCTGTACTTACTAGTATATGGATCAACAAAGTTTATGGAATGATTCACAATTAAGTGCTGAAAATTTTCATTATCCAAACAATTATACGTTTTCCAGCAATCTGATATAATTGTTGTTCTAAATAAAAGCCATTCTTTAATAATTTCTAATAGTGTTCGCCGTGCGATCCGGAACTGATGCAAGAAAAATTTTTCTTGTACCACGTTATCTGCCAAATATCCATTTTTCTTATATTATTCGGCCGCAATTGAACTTCCTTTTGCCGATTTTCACTTCATCTATTTCTTAATTTTATCGGGTCCCCCAAGTTTTGTGAACGTTTTTTATGCCCACATTATGCAAACCTATTTCGTTTTAAAAATAGCAAGAAATAAACAGAATATGAAGTTACAAATTATAAACATTTTAAATATTTTGTTTATATATTTAAATCTTTCAATTTATTTAATTTATTCTAACATATATATTGCCAAAAGTAGCAAAGGCTCCTATGCAATGTTTGTTTTTCAATGTCAGATATTTTTCCATATTTATTATAAACCAAAGCACATGTAACCTTTAAGTAGCGACGTTTGCTAATCTTTAAAATCAATTTATTATATGCTCATATACACAGTAAAAAAATAGAATATGTAAACACCATTCAAATGTTGTTAATTATTCTTGTCAAAATTGACATTAAATATTCATGAATATTAATGCTTCAAAATTATAGTAATACTTCTCGGCAAAAAGAAGTCCAATCAACAATTGTGTGTGCAAAAATTTTTAACTCCGGTGCGAAGGAAATCCTGCCGTGGAGGTCTTATCATTATAAAATACGCAGTTATCCTACAAATGGTTTCAATGTCTAAATTAGATTTTGCAAACCATGTATTACATTTCCCATTTGCTTTAAATGCACATTGTTTTTTCATTTTTTTCTTGTTTGTTTTTTTCACAATAAATTCGCCGACATCGAAATACTAAATTATTTTTATTTAATATTATAGTTCCATTACATCGGACATGTCATTTCTTCTTCAAGTAATTTGCACTTATATAAAAATTCTATTAGTTTTTCTTTATTGTGTGTAACTGCTAAAAACTCATGTCATTGCATCTTCACAATTTATTACAAGCACCTCTAACAAATGACAATGACTAACAACACACTAACAAGGATACTTTTAAACTGTATTTGTTGTCGAAATAGAACTTCGCGAAATAGAGCTTCGCTTACAGCACGCAAAACAATTTACATTTACCCAAACTCTACTAAAAACAAACACATTTAAAAATGATGCAGATTTTTAGCAAACATAATACATAACTACAATTAGAGAACAAATACAATTATAGAACATAAATATAATTAGAAAACGTGTTGTATTTTAAATTACGTACACTTTGACGTATTGCACATGCTTCTCCGTCTATCCCTTTCAGCTGCACTATTGAACTGAGTTCAGTTGTGCGACTAAAAAGAACAGACCATCAGTCTCTGCGTTACCGGCATGACAGGTTTCATATATGTTCGTATATGTCATTTTTTATCTATTCTTTATAACTTTCAATTCGTTTGAGAGCGACATTTTTTTCCTTCAAATTCGCGTTCTACGCACCAAAATACACAATTGTACAAAGTTTCTGCGAAATTGGTGAGTAGGCCTGTATTCTTCATAATTACCATATTTTTTCTCACTAATTTATTGCACCACTTCAGCAGGGCAACTAAAAAGAACAGATCCATTATAATTTAAAATAGCTTTCATACAATCTTTGAACGACTATCCAAAGTCAAACCAATAGCATTATTTTATATTCCCTTTAAAATCATAAAACTTTTGTAAGAAACATTTTTCTCTAAAATGCTTCATTTCCGATATATAGGTTTGTAAAACTTTAGCTGATTCATCCTATACATATGTATGTATTGTGTACATTATGTATATATGGTATGAGTTCAAATCTAGAGTAAAAAGCAGGATTATTCACATTATCTTTTAAGTACAGTTTCATTAATTGCAGAATCTATTTTGATATCATTTTCAAATGATTTCTTATATCTATTTTTTATTTCTCCTTTTATTTGTATATTTTTACAGTTACATTTATCTTATTGTTTACGAAATTAAATCATCTTCTCAATGGTTCTAGATTTTTATTAAAAATATTAATTTGAATTTATATATGTAATCACGATGTCAATAACAAAACACAAAATAAACTCCAATAAGGGATCATAGCTGGATGTAGTACAATTTAATAGGACATCAAAGTTTGACTTAAAATATATATATAGCTGTTAATGTTTTCCATTTTTATATAAAACACGTAAATAAATAAGTTTTTAAATCACACTTAATTTGCAGCCTTTCCTTCTGTCCTTCAAGTGCGCTTTCAATATTTCTAACAGCTGAGGTCTTTGTAAATGGGTGTAAGCAATGGATAACATCTGTAAGGCCCTGCCTTGTACGTGGATGCTGCCGTTTGAGAAGAGATCATGTCCCAGCTCTAAACAAGTACCAAAGTCGCATTCATCTGCAGCTATCGTCGCCAACCTCACAATCTCATCGAGTTGCGTGATTGATGTCTTCCTTTTCTCTTGAGTGTCAGCCTCTTCTATTTGCTTCAATATCTTTTGTAATATATCTGCATTTGATAACAGAAGAATAAAATATACGAAATATATAAAATACAAGTACAAATATACAAAATATTTATAGAATAATAGTATAATCAAAATATTTGTATGTGCTTAATTATATTAAATGTATAATTTTAAGTAAATTAAAAATAAAATGAAACTGGAAGATTTTTTAAGATAATTATTACTGTTAATAAAATTATATTTCTGAGCACTTACTATCTGTTGCTGCTAAATCTCTATAACCCAATTGAGTCTTCTTATCATATGGGACTACAATACCTGCTTTATGAAAGGTACGTGCTACAACTTTCCTTTCTCTTGAACGCATATCTACAGTGTTTTTTTCTAAAGTTATGTCATGCTGTTTGGCAAAGTTCTTTAATTTTGAATGTAAACGGATTATGCTGGTCTTTTCGAATGGATTGGCTGATTTTACTTTGCCTTGTAGATAAGTACTGAAATTTAGATAATGTAAAAATAAAAGTAAAATAAAATACATATATATAACTATATTAATGTTTTTAGTTTACTTACTCAATAGCACCAAATATATTTTCTGCAATAGATTCAAATACACAACTAATATTTTCACAATTCTTTGCTACAAACACAGGTTTTTCTGTAGCATCATCTCGCCAGTAACCAAAATGTAACCCTTCTTTATTGTCACACATTATAATAGTCTAAAAAAGGAATTCTCATAAGTATAGAAAATATATTTTCAACTCTTGGAACTTCTATAAATATAATTTTATTATTACACTATCAGTATATATACCTGAAATTCTGGTGTGTCATAATAATATCTCCAATGTGTCAAATATTTTTCTTTATCTTTTTCACTTGTCAAATTTTTTATCTTACCTCCCAATATATCATATGGCCCCACAAGCTTTAAACAAACAGATTTAAGTGCCAAAAGAGGATTATCTTTCGATATACTTTTACAAAATTCATAAAATTGATAGAAATCTTTTGGCATCTCAACCAAAAATAATTCTGTGATGATTTTTTGAGCATCAATATCAGATATTGATAAATTTTCACCTGCATTAAACTCAGCAGAATTAGAAGAACAATGATATTCATTTAATTTATTTATCTCTATAATTGTCATATTTTTATCATTACTTAATATTTCTATGTTTGTATTTAAATGTTGATTGTTATCCTCATCACTGCTTTTCATTTCGTCGCTTTCTGAACTCGGCGAAAGATTATGTACATTTCTTTCAACACTATCGTTTATTTTTTGCAATTTCTTTAGTGGATTTTTGGATTCTGCTTTCTTCCTATCATTTTTTACAAGATTCTTTCTTTTTACACCAGTGATTAGCATTTCCTTCTTTTGCTTTACCTGAAGAATATATAAAATACATGGCATAATCACATATTAATTGAAATTTTTCGTTGATTAAAATTAAGAAAAAGGGTAATAATACGATACCGTTTCCTCTTTTGGCGGGTGTTTATATTTGCTGAGATGTTGCGGATTTTTTTGATAACATTTTGTACCGTATTGACAAGGAATTCGTGAATCGTCATTATATATTTTAAATTGCGTCTCTTCGTTATTGGATGACATTGCAGAAAAAATGTATTATATTATTCAATATTTTATCAATGACAACCGATTTTGTATCTTCACGTATAGTGGAAATAAATTAATGAGGTTATTTTCCTTCGATCAGAGTGTTCCGAAATAATTAAAAAACCCTACATATCGGTTCGGTTCGGTTCGGTATATGGCTTTAAGCCAGCGGCACACGGTGCTTGTTTTCGTGCTGGATTGCTTGCTGAATGAAAATACTGCGTTCTGATTGGTGCATTTCCGAAGATGGATGGAAATGCACCAATCAGAACGCAGTATTTTCATTCAGCAAGCAATCCAGCACGAAAACAAGCACCGTGTGCCGCTGGCTTTAGGTAGAAGGGTGTACCCATACGCCATTCTTCAGCTGCGTTAAGGGAAGGGAGGATTAAATAGATTGGTTAAACCCTACATATAACCAGAGAGAAACCTGAGAGCGGCCACCGGGCTGGTTATGTCAGGACGTTTTTCCCGACGCGTCCCCTGAGAAAATATGTGCACACTACGCCCGTCCTGACGATAATGGCAAAGCGTGCACGGTTCTTGTTCACTCTACTTCCCCTTACAAGAGATAGTAAATTAGACAAATATAGACAATCAATTGCTCTCTGTCTTTATCGCACCACCGATGAGCGCGACAGGAAAAGGCACGAGGTGAGTCAGCGGCAAATCTTATCGCTAAGCCAAAATCTCTTCCGTCTTGCCCCTTCACCTCCTCATTTTTCACGCAACGCACTACCCGCAATTCGAGAAAGAATATTTCGAGGCCGCGCGGACAACTTCTAGCAATGTTATAAAATGACGCTAATGGGAGTGGCCATTTTTATAATTTTTATATTCAATTTTATAATTTTCATATTTAGTTATGAACATACACATGCATTGCGTTGTAAATGTTAATATGCAATAATTATTATATTTTAATTATTATTAATATTAATTGATTTTATTAACGCTAATAATTTAAATGATATCAGTAATTTGAAATATTCATCTTCTCGCAAAGGAATTGACACATCCATCTGATTTCGAAAATATTTCTTTGTTTAAGATTTTTACAAGTCATCGGCAAAATTATATAGTGGATTGTTGAATGTTTGCAGGAGAAAAGTAAACAGTTTAATACATAGATATTGTACTCAAATAGAGATATTAAAACCTTTGAAGCTAAGAATGCGTGGTGGTCGTGGAGGTAAGCAGCTAGTTTGTTGCACTAAATTATTAGCGTTAATAAAATTATTTAATAAAATTAATAAGTTAATAAAATTATTTAATATTAATAATAATTAAAATATAATAATTATTACATATTAACATTTATGACGCACATGCACATAATTTTATTTACAGTACAATCGGGTGTAATAAGGTGCAATGAAGCGGTCCGGTTATTGTATCAAATTGTACCATCACTATCTTATTATATTGCGTTAGCTCCGAATTAAATCGATCTATCATTGATTGTTTTCATCCGCACCTTGTACATTTTGTGCAGATAAATAGTTCCACTACGGAAAGAAATGAATCACCGTGATTGGTCAACTGAGCTTCCCGAGTATCCCGCTTGTGGCGCTGTTCGCAGTTGCATTCGTATTTAGTTATGGCGCCGGTTACGGTTGTGTAATGTGCGAAAAACCTGTGATTTCTCGTGATTTTGACTCGCCTTAAATCGTTACCGGGAATACTGAAAGTAAATTTCGCGCGTGTGTTATGGCGGAATGATGTTCGTTCCGCCGCGCGAAGTGAAGTGAGAAATCGTCGGAATACCGAGGAAAATTCAGCGCATCAGCTGCATAAAGGTAGCTCAGTTTTTGCGTCGCGGAGCTTTGTTTTCGACTCGTCAGCCAAGTCTCGGCCGCGAATTATCGTTAAACATCGAGGTATGGCACAGCTTTTGTTAAATATTCGTTGAAAATGTGCATTGTTCGTCGGGAGAATCGAGTAAAGTTTCGGGAATTTTTCTGTCATAGCCGATTTCTTGGAATATTTCAAACGGAATGGACGGTTTCAAACAGAATATTTTGATTAGTACGCTAGTGATACGTATTCACCGACATATGCACACATTGAAAATCGTGACCGTTGCATTTCAATACTTAGTATAGAATTCTAAAAGCCGACCGTGCGTATTTTCCGCGATTTTGAATTACCAAAGGCGAATATCGGCATGTATTGTTTTGTCGAGAGTACTGAAAATAAATTTCGTGCATTTGTCATGGCGAAGTATCGTCAAGTAGTCGAAAGTAAGTAATTAACGAAACCGGATCGTCGGAAGTGCCGAATGAAATTACGCGCGTTTGTTGCTTAAGATTTGTGTTGTGAAAAATGGCCTGTTATTGTGCAGAGTTAAATTTAGTATTGTGTAAACAAAAAAAGTTTGTGTTGTGAAAAATATTAAATGTCCGAAAATATATTTTGCAAGGAGGGACATCAGGAACCATTGAGGAGTAAGTTTATTTTATGTACATCACGCTATAACACAATTCGGAGTTATTTGCCTCGCGATATTGTATTTTTATCTTGCGGTGAAAAAATTATCCAATGAAAAAATTGATGAGGCTGATCATGGTTGTGAAACGAAACATGAAAGTCTCATCTAAATATTTTGAAACAATATATTTAATGTTTATTGATATTTTCATTCTTAATAGTTCATCATAGTTTACATTTTAATCGCATTTTATTAACCCACTCTGAATGAGCAAACGAAATATTACGTCTAACCCGAAAGTATCAGTTTTTCAACGAGTCCGCTCGCAGGTCTCTACAATTCTTATAACTCACTGACCGCGTAAATACCTCGTCGATTCTTGGAACTTACGCCGCCGCGCACTTACCCAGACGACGTATCGTAGCGAACCATATTTATTTCCCCAAATTTTTATTTACTCTCTACACTATCCGAAAAGCTATATTAATCTGGATTTTAGGAAAATTAGTCATATTGAAAATTAAATAGCATCACTTCTTTCGATTAGCATAAATATTTCCATATTTCATGACGTATATATTGATCTATCATTTTTCTATACATTAATTTCAACATTTCGGATTTCATAATTCTGTAACGTTGGACTGATTTGGTATCTACGGATTATCGTTATTTTTAATTTAGATTAGCTTCTTATTGCACACGATTTATTAATTTATACTTGGTAGCTCATCATTTTCGCATGGATCAATCTATACATATCGGCTTCAAATTCTCCATAACGCGTAGGTGCACATTGTTGCAATTTGTCAGGATCTTAGTTATTTTGAATCTAGATTAAAATATTATTACCCATATTTTGATAATTAATATTTCATGACAGGTCATTTCGGAGCCTGTCACTTTTCTATCTTTCGTGGCCTTCAACTCCGAAACGCGTAATTGCAACTCGATGCAGTTCACGAGGATTTTCCCAGATAGCACCGGACATCCAATGGATGCACGTTTCACGTCCAATTTATGTCCGTATGTCCGATTTACGTCCGTGGACATAAATTGGACATAACAAGGATGTCCTTATTGGACATCGGACCTGTAGGACGTCCGATGTACGTCCATCGAACGTCCTATGTGCGAAGTTGTGACAAACGTACGTCCTATGGACGTCTTTTGTAAAAAAAAATGGACATATAATGGACGTCCAATGGACATCCATGTGCTATCTGGATTAGTTATTTTGAGAATAAATTAAAACCTTATCATCCATATTTTGATAATTAATATTTCGGAGCCCAAAAGCCTAAACGTAAAAAGTAATATAAGTAATGTTAAAATATAGTAAAATAAGTTATATATTAACAATAATATTTTTATATTATTTTATAAATGTTGCTGTATAATTACACATAGCAAGAAATTAATAAATAATTATTTAAATAAATATATATTAAGAAATAGAAGAATTATATCAGGAAGAAGAGACAATTATTAACAATAATTGTCTTGTAAGAAATTAATATATTTAAGATATATATTAATATTATTATATTAATATATTTAAGAAGAAATTTATATATTTAAGTAATTAATGTATTGAATATTATCTTAGATAGCAGTTATGATTTAATAAGAGAGTTTAGTAATAGAATTGTTCAAGAGTTTTATAAGCAAATGATTAGAAAAATTTTTATTTGAGACTTTTTAAGGTTCCTATATACAGGTATTAGGAGCAATACTGTCTGACAGTATATCTTCAAAGAGAGAAGATAATGATGTAAAGAAAAAAAGAAAGACAGCAAATAGTTGTATACTCACTCAACATATAAACAGAAATAACACTGTGGTATGCGTAAATGCATGCATTTTTTTTTTATGTTTGGATCTGGCTTTGAAGAAGACATTTTATTTCTATGCCTGCTCTCTATATATACATATCTCATTCTTTGACTTTGATAAAAAATAATTCTTCAAATTCGCTTTTGAAACTATCATATCGATTACAAAAAGGAAAATTAATTACATTAATTGTCTGTGTGTTATATTATTATTTCTTGTGGATTGTGATAGAGTTTACAATTGAAATACGATCATGAATCTTTTCCCTAGCGTGAACTAATAAAAAGTGAAAAGACTTCTGTGAATCAGTGAAAAATGAAAAATTTTATATGAATTTGTGAAAATCGAAACATTTCACACGACAATTGAGTCGTTCAACATGGCAGTTGCGTGTTCTGGATAATTCAATGAATACCAAAGAAATCAAATTGATCAAAATAATAATGTCCGTGTAGTTCGAAGGATATTACGTGACACGCAAAATCCGTTTGATATAATATCCAAAGAAAATGTTTCAAAATATGTATGTACAGGTAATATAAACCTTATGCATCGACGAGATATACTACAAAGACTGATGACCTTACGGGATTTAGCGTACCAGAGAAATTTCCCTGGTGAGGCACTCGGGTGAAAGAGACCGTCTCGCATTTAGCGTAGTAAAATTTAATGGAAATTAATACTTTTCTTCGGATCAAAAAGACTCAGAAATCAGACATATTCAAAATGTCAATACTTTTTAATACGTTTCAATTCGACATTTTATACAGAAAAGTAGGACGAAGGGAATGGGATGCGGGCAACGATACATCATACGTCCCCAGACGTGTCAAATCGTTTATTATAGAGGAGACTTTGATACGGCAACATGTATTCGAATATTTAATCGTCCCATGGACCA